TAGGGTAGGTATGTCGAGGGCTTGCAAACCCTAACCCGTAAACCCCAAAACACTGGCGCCTGAGCCTACTTTGCAGCCGCTTCGCGCCCTGGAGCTTCTTGATTTCGTTCAGCACCCCGGCATCCGCCAGCGCTGTGTTCTTCTCCGAGCGGCCCACACGGGACATCCTTAACTGCACGCAGATCCAGCTCCCGTGCCTTCAAGAATAAGTAGGATACTTGCTTTAGTACTTGTACTAGTACTAGTCGTCGTCGTCGTCGTCGTCGTCGTCGTAGTAGTAGTAGTAGTAGTAGTAGTAGTAGTAGTAGTAGTAGTAGTAGTAGTAGTAGTAGTAGTAGTAGTAGTAGTAGTAGTAGTAGTAGTAGTAGTAGTAGTAGTAATAGTAGTAATAGTAGTAATAGTAGTAATAGTAGTAATAGTAGTAGTCGTAGTAGTACTCGTAGTAGCAAAAAAGACGGTGAACACTGTACTCGTCATGTAGTGGTACTCGAAGTAAACGTACCAACCATAGCAAGAGTACATGAACGTCGCAACGTGCGTTCTTCACTACATTTCGAGCTCTGGCTGTGCAAAACAAACCACAAAGGAAACGCGAACCCGCAAGCCCTTCCCATACCGCATGCGCCTAAAGAGCTCAGAATCTGTCTGGAGTAGACCACCAGCGAGCGCAGGGTAGCTGCCTCCTCCATGATCCTCTCCAGACACTTCGCCATCGTGGCCCTTCTCTTGCCTCGAGGAGACTTTTCGGTTTAGGGTTTCGGCTTTTGGGTCATTGGCAGGTACGGACTACTTGCAGCTGCCAAATCACTTGTGTTGTCAAGCCTCCGCCTATTGTAAGAGACTGCATCAATACTGAATATATAAAAATAATACAAAATATAATTGAGCAAAAGGTCTGCAAGTCATGCCAACGCAGTCTCGCACTTCCTTTGTCACGCTTCGTCCCTAAACTCTAAACCCTAAACCCTTAACCCAAACGCTCAGCAAAACCCTCATTAACCGATCATTAACCCTAAACGTTAAAGCATGATAACTCCTTGAGAGAATCCCGGGATGTAGAAGCCAAGGCCTGCTGTCTCGATTGATTCGCGGTCGCCGGCGAGGATTCTGTCCTGCCAGGTCAGGGGTTTTGGGTTTAAAGGTTCAGGGCTCAATGTTGGGATGTTCCCCATTATACTAACAGTCCTTAAGAGGGATTTTAGAACCCCCTACTATATTCCCTATTAAGAAGGACTGTTGGTATAAGGGGGAACATCCCAAAAGGGGTCTTGGGGTTGAACGGGCCAAGTAGCAGTGTGGGAGGCTTTTGGAAGGCCCGGAAACTCATGAAAAGACATTGTTTCGATGTACATGTACCCTGATGTGGATTGATTTCCAGCCCCCTCTTCCCTCAAATAATTGCTAGGTTTTGTCTTCGGGATTTTGCATTCTCTTTAGCTTGCAATTCCATGAAGGACAAGCCTGCGACAAATAGGTGAAAACAAGTCCTCAGGGACAAGGCCCAGTCTTAATTCCATGAAGTTGTATGGATATACTGGGTGAACTGATGTGGGGTGAAGCGCAAGAGACATGTTGAAGATCATATAGTATACGTAGCGGCGACCGACCTTGCAGTTAGAATATTGAAAAACGGGAGGGTGCAGTAGTTTGAGTCTTGTTTGTGCGGAGGGTAAGCGGCCCGATTTTACCAACCCTGCAGTTAGACCCTAACCCTAAACCCTAAACATATCTGTTTACGGATGGGTGGGATTCCTCTTGAACTTCAGTTTTAAGAGGCCTCTTATTAGGTTCAATAGGACTCATACTTCTTCAACTCGGATTCTTGCTAGCTTTAAAGTTTTGTGAGGAAACGTTGAATGCCACAACGACTCCAATATAGACCCCCAAATAGTAGGATCCCCTTATAATAAGGACCCCAAGAAGGTACCCCGAATTTCGGAAACCCCCTTATTCCATCTGCAAGTTCTGTGAGGAAACGTTGCACGCCAGCCCCCCTCCACCCGAAAATGCCAAAAACAAAGATATTCTAACTGCAGGTCGCCACAAAAAGGAGTAGAGCTTGGCTGGGTTACGTGAGGAGAACACGTATGACATAAACCTTGTGAACCCTACGCACCAAATCTTCTGGACCCTGAAGAGAAATGGAATCTCTGACAAAGCCTGCAGGAAGTCAAATCCTAAACCCTAAACCCTAAACCCTAAACCGTAAACCCTAAACCCTAAACCCGAAACTCTAAAGGGGTTTAGGGTTTAGGGGCGTTTTTGTAGCACTTCACTTGGTCCTGCAGCTCACTCTCCAGGTGATCGAGGTGGCGCTGCAGCACTTGCCGCAGGTCGGGCAGGTCCTCAAGGGGCGTTTAGGGTTTAGGGTTTAGGGTTTAGGATTTGGGGTTTAGTGTTTAGGGTTGAGGGTTTAGGATTTGGGGTCTGGGGTTTGGGGTATAGAGCTTTAATGGTTTAGGGCCAGTTTAGGGGTTTGGGGATCAGCCTATTTTATGGGTTTAGGTCTTAGTATAAGGCCTTTGGCTTCAACGAGGCTTTGGACCCAAAGGCGAACTCTGAGCCTGTGAAGCCCGCAGTCTCCCAGGTCTCGGTCTGAGATTTAGGGCCTCGACAAGGACGGCCCTTGAGAAAACACAAAAACCTAAGCCCCAAACCGTAAACCCTAAACCCGAAGGAAACAGCTGGGTGGGTGGGTGGGTGGGGTCGGGGTGGGTGGGGGGGAAGGACTGCATGTCAACTTGGAGCCTCGGTTTAAGAAGGCAAGACATACAGATCCGCCCTCCGATGCATCCGGCAGATCAGGCTATCCCTGAAACGGGATAATGACCCTCAAAGCCCTAAACCCGAAACCTAAGCCCTAAGCCCTACCTGGGACTCTATTTACCTACAGTTTAGTAGTAACTACCCTTAATTAGAAGGAATGGCCCATAAACCTGTAGGTAAAGAGGGTCCCTAACCCTAAACCCTAAACCCTAAACCCTAAACCTTAAACCCTAAACCCCAAACCCTAAAACCTAAACAGGTAAAGCAAGAAGCCCTGGGGCCTGCTTGACGCCCGTGCGCGGCTCCGCAAAGGCCTTCACCAGCTCGTGGAGGATGTCCTGCGTAGTACGCAACACGCAGCGGTTTAGGGTTTAGGGTTTAGGGTTTAGGGTTTAGGGTTTAGGGTTTAGGGTTTCTGGGATTGACCTGCCCTTGCTCCAAAACCTACGTACTAGTTCTGAGTAGGGAGTGAGGAAATTAAGCACCTTGTATCCGATTAAGAACCAGAAACCTAAGCCCTATAAGCCTAAACCCCAAGACGTCACTCAGGGCGTATAGTTTGTAGAAACGATGGAATTTCAGGGAATTATGCCTATAGTATTGGATTCCATGGGAAGTCTGCACACGAAACTCACCTCCCAAGCCCATTCGACAGTCGCTCGGGTTGCAATGATGCCAGCAGGAATAGGGAGGAGGGAGGGCGGTTGACTTTCTGGTGTTTAGGGTTTCGGGTTTAGGGAGAATAATAGGGGGCCCTGCAGTGCAACTGTTGCTCTGCAGCAGCACGGTAGGAATACGGATACCATGGTCCCTATATCCCTACCAAACTCCCTTGCTAGAGATTCCACAATACTCCAGTTTTAGAACTGAGCGCGCCTGACAGCCTAAGTTGCTAACACGATCCTCCCTACGAGCAGCAAATCCTCGTACGAATCGACCTCGAAAACGACGAACTGCCAGAAGATGTTGCTCACGTGCTCCTGCAGACCATGCACAGGAAATGTCCCAGGTCCTGAAGCTCGAAACTTCTCAAAACCCTGCCTAAACTAAACATACTGACTCTTAATCGCAAAACTCGCGAAGTAGGCACCTACCGAGTTTAAAGTGCCTTGTAGCATCTCCCCCCTCCCGGTATATATCGACTTCCCGAGCTACCTACTCAGATCAGGGCTGAGGATTTTCTGCCAACGGCTTTTAGAACTTGAAGGTTCAGAGGGTTTAGGGTTTAGGGTTTGGGGTTTAGGGCCAGGGTTTAGGGTTCAGGGCATCCGGGCGCACAGCGGCAGAAGATCTCATCAGGGTCATATGTCGCCCGCGACAGTTACAAGATGGGAGTACGTACCAAATTCCATGCTTAGCAACCGTAAGCCCTAGGCCCAGACAGCTGTGTTCACGCTTCAGCCCTAAACCCTCCAGCCGAACAGCCCATGGATAATGGTTGGTTTTAGTATAGGGTTTAGGTACCCCTAATTTCGAAAACCCCCAGATGGTGAAACCTGCAGAATCGCATATCATTTGGGCGCGCGAATTGCCAAAGCACTTGGCGAGGATCTGTTGCAAGATGCATGCAGATCTGGGCAGCCCTATACTAGACCCGGGAGTAACGTAGGAAGAAAAAGGGCGCCCTTTTTGGTTTTAAGGGGATTATAAGGGAACCCCAGCCCTGAAAAAAGGAGAAAAAAAAGGGCCTACTCCCGGTCCTAGTATAAGCAGTTAAGAAGGAACATTTTTTTTGCAAAATCTTGAGCAGCCAATGGACATCAACTGACGGTCTGATTTTCTCGTCCTGTCTCCCCAACCTGTGGTTTAGGGTTGAGGGTTTAGAGTTTAAGGTTCTGGGCTTGGACAACTAGAAACAATGGTTGCCGGAATACGCCGTTGTGCTGTTGCGAGATTTCACCACCGTCACTGTCCCACGGCACGCTCTGCGCAAGGAGTCTCGTCCCAGTAGAGCCATTAAGGCCCGTGCAACGCAATTTTGGGGGCAGTTCTCTATTTCGGGGTCCCATATAGAAGGACCCCAACAGGGCCCCATTAAGATAGAGAAGCACACGTTGGGCTCTCAAAAGGTCTCGGAGCAGCCCTGCAAAATTTGCAGAGCTGACTGGAATACTTTGCTGATCTTGCCGGGATCACTGGCTTCTTCGAACCAGCTTCTCTGCGGCACTGGTTGGTGAGCTTACAGGATACCCCAGACCCTAAACCCTAAACCCTGAACCCTAAACCCCTGCACCTTACTTACCCTCCACGCGTCTCCGGCAGCATGCCATCGCAATAGCCAAGAGCACCGCGATGATGATCAAAGTGCTGGCGTAGACGACATCGGCCACTAACGTCGGCAGAATGGTAGACGCAAAGCCAAGCCAGAGCTCGATGCCGATGTAGATCGGCAAGACAACCCACGAAGCGATAAGATTGGCCAAGAAGTTCGTGCAGCATGCATACCTTTGGCTTAGCACCTTGGAGACAGCAAGTATACTCATCGTCATGATGGGCAAGGCCCCCAGCCACCATGCCATAATCCAGAAGACCTGCTGGGCAGCAAATGTCCAATCCTCATTGAATGCAGCATAGGCGACTTTTGGGAAGTAAGCCCACAGAACGGGCATGGAGCAAGCCACCATCCAAGAATATGAGAAGGAGAAGTAACCCAATTGAGGCACAAGCGCAAGCTGCATTTTCTCCTGCACCCTCTGGTTGAAGGTCTCAATCGATCCGAACCAATTCACGATGCAAGCAGAGATGGTTTCCTTGTCGCAGATGGGAATGGGCTTTCCAGAAGCATCCTTGTGTTGCTGGGTGCAGCAGTGAGCCACCGTGTTCTCAACTGAAAAAACCTTCAGCTGCTTCCGCATCTCCTCGACTGACAGGTAGTACGTGCGGAAGGCGGACACTGCCATGAACATGAAGCTGGTTATTGCGATGAGTAAGATGCCCAGTCGGATAAAGGAGTCGGCAGAGCTGTCCAAGACCTTGAAAAAGTACAAGGTTACCTGGGTGGACTCTCAATCCCGCTGACAAAATATGTTTTACATCGGGGGATGGGGGGTGCCGGAGAAGTCTAAACAAGAAAAAATATTGAATATGCCAAAGGCCAACCTAGTTACAAGGTTTACCAGCAGCACAGCCGCCACGCCTGTGTGGAATGCAATGCTGCAAGGCCCAAGGAAAGTCGGTCGGATGATAAGCTGTGCATTCTCACCGTGGGCTTTCATGAAGGCACCAAGTTCAAAGACACCTGAGCAGCTGTTCAGGGTTGAAGGCGCATCTTGACCATGATCGCACGGCGGTTCACACTAACGATGCCCTGGCCCACGCCGTAAAGTTCATTAAAATGAAGAAGGAACCAACAAGGCAGCCAGACAACAACTCTGGCGGCGCTTGCCACAAGAGTTGTGGCTGCGTTGTCGCGCTAAGGTCACGAAGGCCTCAAGCCTTGCCCCGAAAATCCCCGTGATAATTTGGCCCAGGCGCACCATGCCCTCTCCATGTAGGTGGAATCCCAGCAGACGACGATCGAGCGGGAGCTCTTGAGAATCGCCGGCATGCCTGGGTTCCCCAGTAACCTAGGAGAAAAAAGGGCACCCTTTTTGGTTTATAGGGGTTTTTAGATGGGATAAGAACCCAATGAAGGGGGAAAAAGGGTACTACTGGGCATCCTAGATGCTGATCAGCCCTGCCGTTTTCAGGCCCATGTGTGCCTGATGGATGCAAATCTGGTCAAGGAACACCTGGGGGTGGCTAAGTCGGCTCCTTTTTCATCCTTTGGGGCCTAGAAGGGTTTAGGTTTAGGGTTTAGGGTTTAGGGTTTAGGGTTTAGGGTTTTAAACCCCAAGTTCTAGATGTTCCCCCTACACCCTAAAACGTAAACCCTGTGAAACAAAAAGGAAAGCATAGCGGTGCCCAAACTTGGAACAACCCCCACCTGATGCCGAGGCCTCCAGAAAAACAAGGTCAGACTAGCGCAAAGCACGGAGGCAATCCTTGGTTCAGGGTTTAACTAGGGTTTTGGGTTTAGGGTTTAGGCTTCAGGGTTTAGGGTTTTGGTTGGGCTGCCGAGAATCATGGAGCAAAGCATGACATCCAGGGGATCTTTTGGATCGTCCGGAGCTGGGCCAAATGCCCAAAACAAAAGGACTGTCACGATACTCCCGATGGTGCCGATGCACACGCTTGCCAGGCCGTTGTTGAAAATCAACAGCATCAGCACCTAGACCCGGGAGTAACCTAGGAATAGAAAGGGTGCCCTTTTTGGTTTTAAGGGGATTATAGGGGAACCCCAACCCTAAAACGGGAAAAAAGGGCCTACTCCCGGTCCTTAGCCCTAAACCCTAAACCCTAAACCCTAAACCCTAAACCCCAAAAAAGGGACTAGGCACCTTCGTCCACGTGCCCCCATGCCAGCTATGGCTCCAGAATTGTGCAATGGCTGCCGTGGCAACTCCGAATGCGTACAACTTGGCCTTGTCCTCGATATCAAGAGGGTTTAGGGTTTAGGGTTTAGGGTTTAGGGTTTAGGGTTTAGGGTTTAGGGTTTAGGGTTTGGTGTCCTCGATATCAAGACTCCGTAGAATGCGCCCACCTCTTCGCAGTGGGACGAATGCTGGGGTCGCCCGGACCACATCTGGACGCACTGGCTTCAGAGTCGTTAGCGTAGCGACGAGTGCTGCTTGAACACCCGCAGGATCGGATATAGGTGATATGGGCTCAACTGCGACATCTGCTTCTGCGACCTCGTCGGCGGGCCTGCCAACAACCTCGCCAGCTTGCGTCGTCATGCAGACGCTGCCAGGCGAAGCACTTGAAAAGCGCAAAAACATAGACTTGAGCCAGCGCTCTGAGCAACTTCCCGTGCGCCAGCGTCGGGAAAGCATCTGATGTTGAAAGCATCCCTGCCTCAACTGCCAGATAGAATGCCCTGAATATGCGATCGTAGATTCTCTAAATACATGGGCCCCCTCACGGGTAGCCTATGCATAAGGCCTCATAAGCTTTATGGTTTAGGGTTTCTTTCGAGTTTCGGGTAGGGGTTCAGGGTTCAAGGTCTATTGCCCTGACCCTCCCAGTTTCCGGCTACTTCCCAACCCTAAACCCTAAGCCCTAAACCCTAAACCGCTGCATGTTCATTGCTTGGACCGGGCCTCAGCCTCTCCAATTGAGAGCCATGTTCTAGGCGTGCCCTTATTCAAGCCTCCGACGAATTTCCTAGAACCCTTCTGAAATGTTGGGTTTTAGGGTTTAGGGTTGAGGGTTTATTCCCAAGGGCCTACTTTGCCATTCGATCCGAATGGTTTCTTCGAAGTACGGTATCTTATACTTACTCAGGGATTAGAAGGAGAAAGTTGCTATGTTTTTTGTTGTTGTTTTTTTTTGGGGGGATGGCTAAGCCATGCTGATCGAATTCCCTTCCCCTTTCTTTTGACCCACCGCGTGTCCCTTATATGGGTATCGGTACATATCTGTATATAACGTATATATATATATATATACATATATATATATATTGGTGGTTGTCAAGAGTATGGTCCCGTTTTGGGTCCCTATTATAATACGGCACCTGATATTCAGGGCACCCCAAAAGGGATCACATTTTTGACAACCACCCCTATACATATATATATATATATATATATATATATCCACAAGGGCCATTTAACCTTTGAGAGGTAAGGTAGGTGCATTTGGCTCTTCTTGCTTGGGTTGCAAGACAAGGCCTCCATGATGTCGTCCATCTGGACTCGGGAGTTGTATTCTCCTTGCCTTGTGCCAAGATTCATCTTCAGAAGCTCCAAACAACTGGGCCCATATGGTCTGTTCTCACAATTATGGTCCCTTCTTGGGTACCCTAAATAAGAGGGGCCGTATTATCAAAAGGACCCCAAAAGGGACCATATGTTAGAGAAGTGACGACTTGGTCTCTTATGGGTGTGGAGCGGTCTGTTTCATGCCAGAAATCATGGGTCGCTTCTCTAAACTGGGGTTCCTAGTTGGGGCGTCCCTCTCACACGGCCCCAGATATCTTTGAGGACAAGACCCCATAAATCCTAAACCCTATCCTTGTGGCTTAAGGTGGTTTGCGGTTTAGGGTTTAGAGTTTAGGGTTTAGGGTTTTTTGGTTTAGGGTTTAGGGTGTTCTGACAACCTGAGGATTTCCAGGTGCAGAGCTGTTGAATCCGATGCCAGTAGACCCCAAGAGTAACCTAGGAATAAAAAAAGGCTACCCTTTTGGTTTAAAGCGGGCTGTATAGGGGAACCTCTAACCCGAACAAGGGGAATAAGGTCCTACTCTGGGTCCTAGTAGCCCTAAACCCTAAACCCTAAACCCTAAAAAAGGGAATAAGGGCCTGCTCTGGGTCTGAAGCTTCAAAGCCGCATGGCTTGTGTTTTCGTCAGTGAGGGATATTTGCTTCCGAATTCGCCCCCAAAAATCCTTAACCTGCAGGCCTATAAGCCCTGAACCCTAAATACCGGGCTGCGGTGAATTGACCCGAAACCCTAAACCCTAAACCTCCCCACCCCCCCAAGGAACCCGAACCACGGGGTCAAGGGAAACCGCAAATCACCAAGCGGAGCCAGTTTGCACGCCTAAGCCCCATTGCTAAACCACTACCTCAAGGATTTAGGGTTTAGGGCTTGGGGTTTAGGGTTTAGGGTGGGGGGTTAGGGTTCAGGGTTTGGGGTTGAGGGTTTTGGGCTTGCCAAAAGCCACTTCTTTGCAGGTTACCTGACCTAGGCGTCCTGTAATCGTGGGTTCCCCTGCTACCCCCTCTATACCAATTCAGCCCAAGTAAGGTTATTTAACGGGGGAACCTAGGGGGGGGCGGGGTAGTATAGAGGGGGGGTAGTAGGGGAACCCATGATCGGTCCTACAAACAACAAGGCGTTACTAAACCCTAAACCCTAAACCCTAAACCCTAAACCCTAAACCCTTGGAGCCAAGGGGCAACTTCATGAAGTCCTGCCTCTTCTTGGCCGCCATGAACACCCGCAGAATCTTCCATCCTTTTGCCTGGCACTCGAGGAAAGTAGGGTTTAGGGTTTAGGGTTTAGGGTTTAGAGTTTAGGGTTTAGGGTTTAGGGTTTAGGGTTCAGGGTGGCCCAAGAGCAACCTAGGAATCAGAAGGGTAGCCTTTTTGGCTTCGAGGGGCGTATAAGGGAGCCTGAGCCCTAAAAGGAATGAGGGCCTGTTCTGCTCTGGGTCCTAGGTTAAGGGTAAGGGCTTGGGCATTAGGCGTTTTTGGTTTGCCATGGCGCCCTCTTGTCAAGAGGCGCCCCTTGGTGACGAAGTTCGGACAGCCCCAAAGGCAGCGAAAATCCCGACACTTTGGAGCCTCCGACTCTAAATCAAAAAACAAGCCCCCAAACCGGACCTAAGCCCCGCGAAGGCCACCTGAATTCCAAGCTAAGTTAAGGCCCTGACTGGCCTCAAAGGGGTTCCCGAGTATTCTTAACCCCAAAAACCCCAAACCCTAAACCACTTAGGGTTTCGGAGTTTTCGCCGAGGGCTTTTTCCATCTTTCGTGGCAGATTTGGAGTCCCGGCCCTAGGATAAGGCTTATAGGGCTTAGGGTGTTGGGCTTGAGGTTTAGGGTTTAGGTTTAGGGTTTAGGGTTTGCGGGCTTGAGGGTTCTCAGTGTTACTTTCGCAAGCTCTTGGACCCCCAGTTCATCACTTGAGTCTTGATGGACCTTGCAATGACAAGCCAACTAAAGTGAATAACCCTTCTGGAACTCGCCCTAAACCCTAAACCCTAAACCCTAAACCCCAAACCCTACGCCCTAAACCCTTAACCCTACACAACCCCGAAGTTTCCCCTGAACCCGTAACCCTACACAACCCCGAAGATTCCCCTAAACCCCAGAATCCCCAAACCCCCAAACCCCAAACCTCAAAACCTCAAAACCCTGAACCCTGAACCCTAAACCCTAAACCCTAAACTCTGAACACTGAACTCGCTGTGCGTTGCTGCCGAGGAGCCCTCCTCTTCTCTTTGATAATCAAGGCCGCTTTGCCCAGGGACTTGATGACGGTCCGAAGGAGGAAGAATGGGGAGACCTGGGGAGTGTTTAGGATTTAGGGCTTTTAGGGTTCAGGGTTTTTAGGGTTTTAGGGTTGTTTAGGGTCTTAAGGGTTTTTAGGGTTTTTGGGGTTTCGGGTGTGTAGTGTAACCAGGGAGTTTTTTGCTCATTAGAGCATGACAAGCCGATTGTGACCCTCTGAATGCCTGTCCCTAAGGGTCCATGTACCTATTTACCCATATAGTAGCTCTAGGGCCCAAATATTTTCTTTATGGGTACATGGACCCTTAGGGTTTAGGGGTGTCCTAGGGTCATGACAGAGTGTTCCTCAAGCGTCCGGGGCAGAAGCCATCACCCCAAGGGTCCATATACCAAAATAGGCAATACTTGGACCGTAAACTAGACCCGGGAGTAACCTAGGAATAAAAAGGGCACCTTTTTTGGTTTTATGGGGATGATAAGGGGAACCCCAACCGTAAAAAAAGGAAAAAAGGGCCTACTCCCGGTCCTAGTAAAGTACATACTATACAGGGACTGTGGGGTCCAAGTATATAAGATGTGGGGACTTCGGGGTCCATATCTTTCAAGATATGGACTCAAACGCTCAGCGGCCGCAGGCAGCCAATGATAGGACTGAAACGTCACGTCAACCAACAAGCAATAGTCGTACATGCGCACACCAATGCAACCACCACTGGCAAACTTCGGGACCGCACCAGCCATCACCATTAGCCATCACCATTTTCGTCATCAAGGCCCGAGAACCCGACCCTACTAAGAGAAACCCCAAATCGCCGAGTACTACACGCCTGTCATGCTTTCAGCACGTTCAATTTCAAGCTCCAACAACAACAGGCTTTCCCAGTTGAGGGGGGGCCAGTTTCCCGCAAGGCTGTGTCTGTTTTTGGGTGTAGTGCCGCTTTCGTACCTATTTCGGAAGAGTCTCATATGCGCTCCAGTCACCACTTCTTTGCAGGTGCGCCCTGACCCCTCAACCCCCAAACTCCTAAACCCCTGACTCCGATGAACTTCAAACCCTTAAGCCCTAAACCTACAAACCCTAAACCCTAAACCCTAAACCCTAAACCCTAAACCCTAAACCCTAAGCCCTAAGCCCTAAACCTACAAACCCTCTGTGCTGCCCAAGGACAATTTGCAGCGACATTGCTTCCCTGGCTGCTCAAGTTTGGGGGTTCTCCAAGATTTATAAGGGTTTGGGGATGGGTTTAGGGTTTAGGCTTTAGGGTTTGGGGTTTAGGGTTTAGGGTTTAGGGTTTAGGGTTTAGCTTCAGGGTTTGGGGTTTAGGATAGGCTTTCGGGTCCCAACAGCTAGGACCTCAAAACCCCCCCAAAGCCCCAAAGCTCTTGATGCCCCGAAGCCGAGTGGTTGCTGTTTCTGCTGGATTTCGGTTTTGGGGTTTAGAGAGACCTTTGCATGCCAGCCACACTTCGACTGTGGGCTTTGGTTCAGATGGCTGATCCCTTGAATAGCCGGGGGGGGGGGGAGAGGTAAACTGTGGGCAGTAGTGCTTAGTGGAGTCGCTCTCGCTTCCCTAGACCCGAAAACCCATGAGAGTCCTCAACGTTTAGTGTGCCATGGAGGGCAAATCCGTGACAACCCGAAGAATTTCTAGCCTTTCTAAAACGAGTATGTGGAGTTCAGGCTGAGGGCTCAAGATGAAAGAGGAAGGCTAAACTGCCTTGGACCTCGGCCCCAAATCTTGAATCCTAGTTTGATGGCCCTAGGCCCTGTAAACAAA